TCATATCTAGTGAGTTTCAAAACTCTGAAATCAGAACAAAAGGATGTTCCCTGAATGTGGTAGTTTTGCTTTTTGCAGGAAAAATCACTAAGGAGTGTTCCTCCATTTGCAACCGTTACTTTGACCTGTTTGGCTGGTGTCAGTTCACAGCCAGCTCTTAAGGCTATTAAAGGGGAGAGAAAAGTGGTGGTACTGCCACTATCTACAAGTGCTAGAGCCATGGTCGATCCAAGTTGCACTTGTAATGTGAAGGTGTGCTTAGGTTGTTCCTCAGGAGTGCCATTAGCAGCATGCATGTAAATTTTCAGTTGCTGGGAGTCTGAATTGTCTTCTTCAGTGTCAGTTTGTTCTTCTTTAGCATCTACAATGTAGATAACATCAGGGTTCACTGCACTTTGTTCTTGTAAAGCTTGAATTTGAGACTTCTGGGACATTTTGCACACTTGTTTGTGACCAGGAAACCAAGGTTCTCTACATTTATAGCAAATTCCTTTCTCTCTTGCTTGATGAATGACAGTGGCAGCAGGAACTATAGGAATGATTGGTGTTTTGTTGCTTTCAGTAGCAGCTGTTTTCCTGTAGTTAGGTGTGTAACTTTTGTAGTTGTTGGTTGCAGGACTTGACTTTTCTATTCTCCTTGCCAACCACATTGCTCTCTGCATATTGTCAGGTTGGTGGCATTCTAGGTGACTCTGAATATAAGGGCTTAACCCAGATATGAAGCTGTGCATGTAATAACTATCTGGAACTGCAGGGTTGTCTCTCCTCATAAGATTCATGTTTTGCTCGAAAGCAGCAATGTATTGTGCCACAGTACTAGTTTGATTCAGGCTGTGGAAGGCTTTGACATTTTCACAAACAGAGTTTGTTGAAAACCTGTCTGTCAGATAGGAGCAAAACCTGTGCCAGGGCATGTTTGTGACCAGAAAGCCCGTGCCTCTCCACCACTGTATTGCTTCTCCTTTCAGATAGGACACTACAATTTCAGTTCTTTGTTCCAAGGGCGTTCTGGAAGCTTCAAAGAATTGCTCAATGTTCTAAATCCAAGAGTCAGCATCAGTTCCTTCAAATTTTTAGATATTTAATTTAGCTGGTTTCACACTCAGGATGTTCCTTCTCACATCATTATGAGTGTGTTTGGTTCTATTTTCTTCCTGCCTTGGGGCTTCTTCAGGTAATTCTGCAATGACCATGATATTTTGTTGTTGTTGTCCCACTCTGCTCTGAGGTGTACTGGTGTCAGGTCTACTACCAAAATGGTTTGGATGCCTGAAAGGAGCCTTGGGGGTGCCATCTAGGTTAAATCTTTCCCTGTCACTTTATCCACCAAAACAATAGTACCCGTGTTGTTTTGTGGCTGCAGTTGTTTAGGTCTCCCGGGAGGAATAGTGGTTGCTGCTTTGTTGCTAGCTTGAGCTGAGAGAGGGTCACCATCATCCTCTTCTTCTTCCACCTTGTCCTCCTGCACCAATTTCTTCAGGCTGGCCTGGATCTTTTTGAAATTTCTGTCAATGCTTGCAAAGTTCCTGTTGACTGTTTCAGTAAAATCATAGAACTCCTTCTTGTCTTCCTCTCTGTCTTGGCATAAAGTTTTTATGTCCAATTGTAGAGACTCGAGCTCTAGGATACCTGTATCCAGGGATTCTTCCGGCGTCGCCATCCGGACTATGGTTCAGCCCAGGAGGGCGGGTGAGGGGGGGGGGGAATTTACCACCGGATCTCCGGCAACCTGCCCCACAGCTTGTCGCGCCGAGAATGAAACAACACCAGGAGGTGGGTTGGGTGGGATTTTACTCTGTAGAAGTGTTCTACAGAAACCTCCGCCTCAGCCTTCCTTGCCGCCGAACGATCTACCGTCGCCGTCTCCTCCCTGCGTCCACCGCCGCCTCGCCGGACCCAGATCAGATCTGGTCCAACTCAATGCCTCCAAGGATCTAAAACCTTGCTCTGATAACCAATTGACAGGATCTAGCCTAGGAACTGTCGGAGTATTGCTGAAAACAGAGTAAAAACGCGAACTTTCGATGGAAATTGAGCGTTGTTCGGGTGGATCTGAAACCACGCAAAGCTAGGGTTCGCCAGCCGGAACACGGCGGCTCAAGGGGCCAAGCCCAGAATTATCCAGAATGCCCTCTCCACAAGCCGGAGGAGGGTTAAAAAGGAGGATGGAGCAGGTGAAAAGTAAGACAGTGACAAGTTCAAATTACAGAGATGCGGTAAAGTTTAAAAGAGACGTTACAACGGCCTGAACCGCACATCTAGAGATCTACGGCGGTGAGTGGGTCACTTTAGCGTGAAGCGGTACACGCGCCGAAGCCGTAGGATCGTCGATCGACGGTTGAAACGCACTTGGACATTTGAATCGGTACTGTTGCCCATCTAACTGTTGTCGCGAGCCTCTGTCCTGACACCCCACCATCTTACTCCTGATGAACTTGCCTCATCACCTCCGCGATCAGCCATGTTGTCTCCGGCTTCGGCTCGTCGACAGCACGACACGGTCGACCATGTTTTCTATTGGCCATAGTCCTGGCCATGGGCCGCCCGGCACGAACAGCCCGACCCGGCGCTGCTCCCGGGCCGGGCCTGGGCCTAGATTTTGAGCCCGAAGACTAGGCCAGGCTGGGCCTGGGCCTGCTGTTTCTGCCATTTACTGAAGAGGCCCGGCCCGGTGTGTTTTTTGTTGTGCCGGGCCGGGCTTGGGCCTGAAAAGTAGTCCCGATGGCTGGGCTGGGCCAGGCTCGGGCCTGAGTTTTCTACCTCGGGCTTGGTCAGGCCCGGCCCGAAGGATGGCCAGGTCTAATTGGCCACCATGGTTTCCTCATGGTCGGGCCGACAACACGACTTGTTCGACCATGAGGGAGTTATGCCGGTCACCAGCGAAAATAATAATAATAATATGATATTAAAACTATCTCCGCTGCACAGTCATGTACCACTAATATTTTTTCCCCTCCTGATTTTGCAACAGAAAATCCAAAGGGCAGTAATCTGCGCCGGTGCATCGGCTTAAACTTTCGGCCGGTCCGACCTTGACCGTCAGATGTGATGCATAGAAACCGTTCAGATTGAAGCGTCTCGTCCCCACTTCCGCATCCCTCGCACGCAAGACTCTCTCTTTCCCACCTTATCGCTAGTCAACGCAGACGCCCACAAACGCACTGTCCCAGGCCGCCGCTCGTCCCTGGAACAAGACGCCATCCATGGCGCCGCTCGCTTCCCCTGCTACTGCATCTGCCCCCAACTCGAATCGCCGACGAGCCTACTCGCAGCGTTGCTCGAAGTCTTGGGGAAAAATCCCCCTCGTAGCAGCAGATCCACCCGCAGCGCGTACATCCACCTCTGCTAGCCGCAGGGTGACGCTTCGCCGACGAGGCTACTCGCAGCGGCAACGCCGCACGTCGTCTCTGGCGCCGGTGGGTGCCGCTTGCAACATGTCGTGCTACTCGTCTCCATCATTTGCATGTGCTGGATCCAGCAAAAATCATCGCCGGTTGTAGCATTCACCATCACTGTTGTAGCAAAATCAAAGGACGGGCGGACACAGACAGATAAACTCCGATGGTTGGTTCAACAAATTCCAACGCCGTTTTCAGCAAAACTTGTCACTGATTGTAGCAAACAAAGCAAATAAATTGTCGCAACAAAGATCACAACTTACGCGGATTCCCCAACAAATTCAGACAAGGGTTCCAGCAAAAGTTGTAGCCGGTTCCAGCAAAAATTGTAGTCGGTTCCAGCAGAAATCCGATGAATGTCGCAGAAAAGATCACAACTTACGCAGGTTCCACAACAAATTCAGACAACGGTTCCAGCAAAAGTTGTAGCTGGTTCTAGCAAAAATTGTAGCGGGTTACAGCAAAAATCTGATGAATGTCACAGAAAAGATCAACACTTACGCGGGTTCTCAAGCAAATTTAGACAACGGTTCCAGCAAATTTCGTTGCCGGTTCCAGCAAATTTCAGCAAAAATTGTAGCTAGTTCCAGCAAAAAGGTAGCAGCATAATAATGACAGCATGTGCGTGATCGTCAGCAAAATAATACACTAATTCCAGCAAAAATCATTGCCGGTCCCAGCAAACAATCTGGCTGGTTGAAGCAGAGGTACTGGCTGGGCATGAAAGGAGAGCGTGCCTCATCTTCCTGGCCATAGCCCACAGCCGCCGGCGCCCCTGCTTCCAACAACGCCTCGAGGGCATTCCTTCCGGCAAGACGGAACCGCCAGCAGACCCATGCATCAACCGCCGGGGTGCGGGGGAGTGTGTGACGCCCTCTGTACATGCGGCAGCTAGAGGGCAGCTTCGAAGCAGGAGAAGGGGAGAGATGCTTGCATCAATGGGGGAGGAAGGTCTCACGGCAGTAGGCGGTCTGGCCGTCAACGACGGCAAGCTCCGCATGAAGTGATGAGGGGGCAGGCATTGGGCGCCATGGCAAGAGCAGAAAAAAGAAAGCAACAGAGGAGAAGAATAGAGATGAGAGGATAAGGGATGGGTGGTTGGCCTACTAGCAGCAACAGGAAACCGAGTGCACGCGTGCGACCGGCTGAAGCTTCGGCCGGCGCCCCGGCGTGAAACGTTTACGCCATAGAAGATGATGTACTCCTACACTTGTAAACCTTGAAGGCGACGTAGCTGAAACACGCTCCACGGAACAGAAGACCCCAAGGCATTCGACCGTTGCCCCCAAATTAAGCGCCAAGCCAACGGTCACCCGTACGCAGTCACGCGCTCACGGCAGCAGCACACTCCACAAGCTTCCAGCCCCAGCCGCCTTCTTCCGCACCATCTTTCTCCTCCGCCGCTTCCCCCATCCATGTCCCCCGTGCATATAAAACTCCCATCCCCACGCGGCTTCCCCTCCCAGCGCAGAGCACCCGCAGCAATTCGATTC